GGAACAATAAAAAAATTAACTTCAGTGGTACTTAAAATCATCATTAATGATTTTCTTATCCATTACTAAAATAAGAAGTGAAGATATAAACAAATGAATCACGATGCCCTACTATCAAAAGATTCAATGCAAATCAGGTGCAAGTCAAAAGAATCAATGGAAGTTCGTCCTCCAAGGAAATTAGTTAGACAAAATTGTAAAAGTGGAAATTCTACATTATTCATGAAGTGTGTTTCTGAAGGTACATATTTTTAATTGGTTTTTTATTTCCACGCGTTAAAGATAAAATTAATAGTGCAAATTTCTATGCTTCTTGTTATTTTTATTAAGGTTTTAAAAAATACTCATGAAAGTAATTTCTGATTTCTTTGGGCAAATGTGTAAACAATCAGATATGTACACTGAATTAAACTTTCCGTCTTTCGTTCTCCGCACAGAACCGCGATTAATTAGGGCGAAGAAACAAACGTTCGTATACAAAATTCCAAATCACAAACGTCCAAATCAACGCGAGACGATAGTTTCCTGGCGCTCGATTTCAATTTACGTGATCATTAAGTCGATGCGCGCCGTCGCGTCGCGAAACGAAAAGAATAGCTACATACATTCGCAATCTTGTTGCGCCGGTTGGAATATCGACAGAGTCGTCTCGCGATGAGAGGCGGACTGTGAAAACTCCGGCCGAAGTTACAGACCGAGTTTGCTTAATCCGCAGAAGCAACAAACAACGATCTCGAAGGATATTGTGTGTGTCTATAGGTGGTGGGGCGGACCGCCGAGAATAAAGAAAAGCTGTCCGTAAAGATTTGGAAGAAAACTCGGATCATCGGTTACTTGGCTACCCGAAAGGGCTTTTCACGGCTTCCCAGACTCCAGATAATCCGAGCAAACCGAATTGTAATACGAAATCGTTAATCTAGAATTTAGATGGAACGGTAATGTCCGTGCCACTAATCTTCTTATACCTGCGCAGAACACGAGGGTTTGCAAATAATCTCGTAACGGTCTATGTTACTTAAGCCCTTCAAAACGTCCGAAAATCACAAGTACTTTCACCGATACGTCACCATCTCGTTATTATTAATACAAAAAGAAGCTTCGTTCGACATTATCGGAATTTGATACCACGTCAGTAATACATAACATTTTCCAGCTCGCTCCTCCCTCATTCTTCCTCTCGATGCTTTTATACCATAGTATAAATATCTCGATCGCTTAATTATGTTCATATTTCTCATTTTTTTTACCAAGTTTCACGGCTTTGCGAGAATGCATGTAATTTCTAAGCAAGAATAAGTACATATCTATACATAGTACCTATGTGTACGTATCCAGGACGAAGGATACGTATGTCCCGAGTCCCGAGAAGAAAGCGGAAGAACTTGGACGCTCTCGATACGTAGGTAAATCCGTTCAGGACATATTCATGCGGCAGGGTATCAACGTATCAACCTGTCAAAAGAATGTATAGGTGTGGAAGATGCTAAGACGCACACGACACGAGTACAACGCGTATAGTCAAGTAGTACACCCATCCTCATCCACCGGTATAATATGTATACCTACCTAACAGACGACCCTCTTCAAAGCTAACCACGCCTAGTTAGCCAGCATTGTACACGGTAGACTTTATGAACTGGAAACGAACGGTCACGGCAATCGTGACAACTTGATCGTTACCCATAGTGGGCCCGTAGAACCGTGACCCACGCGTCGCGACGGACACCGAATAATTCGAGATTTTCGGGTTTCAAGGAAACTCGAAATTTCGGAACGAGCACTCCGAAAATCTGTAGGTGGCAGATTTCGTTGCGCATTTCGTCGATCATAATACAACGTAACGATCGTGACTTACGAGTCGGTGATATTCACGGTTTCACAGCCTATGAAATTTAATAAACGATATTCCATCCCATTAAACGTGATCATCGTGCGCTATCTAATCCCGTGTGTCAAAGCGACGTGATTAAGTGTGGAATATTAGGTGTTCACCCTCCCTCCCTCCCCTTTCTCTCTCTCACTCGCTCACTATCCCCTTCTCTGTCCCTTTTGCCTTTCGATTTTAATTAATCCTCGAAAGTCACGTGTACCCTCTAAATTCCTATTTCCTTTTTCCCCACACCCTATTCCCTATTCTTATTCCATTTGGAGATCAACGCGTTACACCGCGTCAACGATTATGATTTTGGGCTGACTACCGCCGTTTACCAGCGGATTCGGTTTCGACCCCGTCCTAAACAAATAGAATCAGAAATCAGGGATAAATATATGTAAAGCCATATCGGTCATTAAACGCGAGACAGCATTTGCGACCACACTCGGTGGGCACGTGCAAGCTCGATCAATGCCAGCAGTAGGAACCCACGTCCACGTGTACATACATATATATATTCACATAATATATTCAAATCAAATATCAAAAGGTTTATACGAAAGAATGGCAAACAGAAATATAGAAGTATGCAGGTAACTGTTGAAACTTGGAACGATGGAATTAAAGGAATAAAAATTTCAACTATCTCATACTGTGATCTTATCTTATTTTCATATGTATATAATTTTATTTATTTTATTATTTATTTTTCTCGCCCTCGCGAGAGCGTTTCGACAGATCTCGCTCATTCTAAATCTTATCTAACCGAATGAGAATTAAATGGAATGTGAAATCATTGTTTCGCGATACGCAGTAGACGTAGACACACGGGTTATAATTCGAGTGTTGCGGCGCGTTGCCCCGGCAAACGCGTGCCGTCGACCGTCACCCTCGCGAGAACGTTGCGACTTGCGACCACGATACGTTGATATCGAAATTACGTAGCCAAGGGTGAACGATGAAACAGGACGGAACATAGGGGTCCGCAACAACGGCTCTTTAATTTAATTACAAACGATGATCGAGCATTGTACGAAATTACTCGTTAAGTTATTTCAAAAGACAATGTTATCAGTTATCGAATACCATTGTCGTTCGAGTCGAGTCGTTAAATAAACCGTGACGCAAACAATTTTTTACTATTACGGTTCGAAGAATCCAATCGAGAACCCTCTTTCGAATCGGTTACAGTAGTCAGTCGATCAGCAACATAAACGTTCTCGGCGGACTTCTTTTCATTTGTTGGGCTTCACGTTCACGTTCAGAAAGCTAATTGCAGATGAGACGATCGCATATTAAAATTAAAAGTTTGCGGACAATTGCGATGCAGGCAAATTTTTCGATAGAAATTCGAAACGCGAAATTCAACCCTCCTCTATTTTTGCATAATGGTTTTACACCCTCCACAAACATCTGTGTAGTATCTATGTCCTTTTCTATCATTGACTCAATGGATAAATTGATAAAAAGTGAAATCGTTTGTAAAATGTCAAATAACCGACACTATATCCTATCCTAATACACTATAAATACCTAAATATATAGCTACTCCATCTTGATACGACAACAGTTTAATTCATGCCACATACGACCATACAGAAGAATCCCAGGATCACCGACCCTGTTCAATGGAAACGGTCGACCCCGAAACGAAATCCATTTCGTCCCTGATACTAGGCGATTTATAAGAATTTGTAACCGAAAAATATTCATCCTTCCTTCGCAGAGTCGTTTTACAAGTACACACGTACGTGTACCAAAATTGAGAACATTAAGAAGCTGTAACTGAGCGATCGTTCTGGTTCTTGATTCTATGTATTTAGTTTGTAGTTCGCTGTGGCTCAGGACGCGCGCGTCAATTATGCGTAACAAGCGAAATGAAAGAGTAGTGCGGCGCGGCGGCGACGGCCCCACTGAAAATCAGTCGAAAACAAACTCTGAAAGGATCGTAGCAGCCCCTAATCAAGTCCCGTTTAATAAAACGGCTGGGTCAACCCACCCTCGTTTCTCACTAGCCGCCCACCCTACTCGGTACGATACGGTGTCGTCCCTTCGTGGCTAATCTGACTTTGATTAAAGTTTTAGCGACACCCACCAAAGGCTAAAAGCGTGCGCCGGCCGATAGAAATTCGCTGCTGGTTGCTGGTATCTATCTACATGCGTCCTCGCGCGAAGACCCACACCGCGCCGCGCACGCCGCCGCGTTGCTCCCAAGGTGCGTTTGTTGCGATCGTGTAAGTCCATTTTTATTACGTCCCGGCGCGGCGCATACATTACGGATTAAGGGGTATCGGTAGAGACACGCGGTAATGGGCTTATCGACGCCATGGGAATATGGGATTACCGTAATAAAGCTACGGAAACCGAAGACGCGTCCCGCACGCGTATAAACATCCATGAGACAGAAAAATGCAAATATCCACGTTTCTAAACACCAATTTTCAACCCTCGAACAAAAGCCTAAGAACCAGCATTTAATTCGAAATTTCCTACCGGCTCGCATGCTGATTGATCGATTATTTGAAAGATTGTATTTGAAATAAAAGAAAGTTGTACACAATCTTGTTTGCAGATAATAGCAGTCAGTACCTACAACTTTTATTTGAAGCATTTCTCGAAATTTTGAAAAAAAAAATTTTATTTTTTCGAGATTTTGTCAAGGGGTATATTCATATTTTGCGAAATTTTCGTTTTTCCTTAAATACTCCTAAGCCGGTAGATCTATAAGAAAATTGCATAAGACCATTTTTGTAACTGACGACTAGAGCTACAACTTTTGTCTAAAACATTTTGTTCTATCGTCTATAATTAACGAGTAATTTGCAAAAAACTATTTTTTTCTTTTTCATCAATTACTCATTAACTATTGAAACTAGCGAAAAATGTTTCAGACAAAAGTTGTATCTCTAGCTGTCAGCAACAATTACACAGGCGCTGTCACTCTTTAATAGTACCGCCTCGGTACAGATATGTTTACAATATTTAATTTTATCTATCCGTACGTGCGGCAGCACCTCCCGGCCGCAGACGTATGTATTGGTATATACCTACTCCATGAACCTGAATTGTAGTTCACCAATTCACATCATCTTCACAATCTACTCTTCATCAATGAGAAACGATCACGAAAATCATCACGATCACCGTGAAAAATCACGGTGATTTGAAACGCACGTGATCGAATCACTCGTGATCGAAAAGTAGCAGTATACGCCATCTCTTCAAGTAAGGCAACAACTGCAATAACGGAGTTCATCACGGTACGGACCGCACAGACACAATCTTATATACCACGTGGTAACGCGGTAAGAATGCCGTCTAAGCCTATATAAGATTATTATAAGACTGTGATAAAAACTATAACAATGACAAAGACGAAGCGGTAAATTTAATTGTACATAAAATGACTTCCATAACGAACAGCAGTATTAAATTGCCAAGATATGAAAGTTTTATCTATTTCTCATTGTGGATTGGTGCAGTATTGTATTCTGTTTATAATGTGTACTTAATTAATCCTTGTAAGAATTTAAATACAGTAGATGATAACTTAAATGATTCATGTATTGATATTCTACATAATTTTTAGATTTTAATTATTACGATGATTTGTACGGAGATTTTGCACCAGGATGGAGTTGGATCGGAAGGAAACGAGATATTTCCGATCAAGAATGGAGAATGTGGATACCGTTGCTAATAAAATTAGCACCTTGGATATTTCTTCATCATTTCATTAGCCAAACCATCAAAATTTTAATCAATTCCATGGTGTGATATTTTGGTATAATTTCGTTTGAATCCTAATTTTCTCTCATAATTATTTACAATAATACCATATAATTTTACAGCTAGTATTATGTTGTTGGTACATCGTTGTAGCCATAACATTTTCGTATTTTAATATTGGAACATTAGGCATGTTGTGTATATTACTACAACCCTGTATGTTGTATATTTTAACGTACAAACGCAAAAGATCTAGTATATGGTTGGTACATGTACTATGTTTGTTTGTAATACATTTTCTTAAAATTCCGGACGGTACCTTTCAAAATATGTTTCAATTTAATGACGAAGAACATTATATTTTAATGGTTACAATGTGTTGGATTCAGTTAAGAAGTATAAGCTGTAGTCTAGACAACACAAAAATATATTTAGAAAATACTCCTGATGATACGTATCCTTTTTTAAGAAATCTATTATACAAACTAGCATATTGCTTATATTTGCCTACATTATCCTTGGGGCCACTAGTCCTGTATCATGAATTTATAGCTTCCGTATGTATAATTTATCATTGGAAACATGTTTCCTTAGATGAAAATATATAAATCAATTTTTATATTCTTATAGGTAAATCAAGTATATGATGTACTGAAACTTTCAAACGTTAGACATTTGGCCTTCAATTTGGTCAGATACATCTTCTGGATATTTTTCACCAATTTCTTTTTACATTTTATGTATTTCAATGCAGTACAATATCATCCAGAGGTGACACTATATTTTTTAGTATGTTGCTTTACGTAAATGAGATGAAAATCCTTTTTTTTTTTGTTTGCTCATCAGCTTGTCCGGAGTTTGAATCCATGGGCTTTGTATGGATTAGGATATTGTCTGGGACAATTTTTCTTAATCAAATATGTTGTGGTATATGGGCTTAATCATACATTGTGTGCAATAGATTGTGTTAAAGCTCCACCTCAGCCTAAATGCGTAGCAAGGATTCATTTGTATTCTGATATGTGGAAGTATTTTGATCAGGGTTTATACAAGTTCCTTGTGAGGTATGACTTGGATATATGCACTGAACGTAAAATGCAGTCGCGACGTGAATATTTGTAGAAAAAATCTATTTTTCAGATACATTTATGTACCTTTGTTAAAATCGAATTTCAACAAACTGATCGCTTCTTTCTTATGCTTCACATTTGTTTTTATATGGCATGGAATGCAAACGAATATTTTTATTTGGGCATTTATGAATTTTATAGGATTGAACGTTGAAAGTTCAATTAAATCAGCTGAAAGAAGTAAATCCTATTTAAATGTACATAAAAGATATATGTCAAAAACGAACATCAGGCGATTGAATTGTATCTTGACAAGTCCTCTTTTAGCTGTGTCAGTGATATCCAATTTTTATTTCTTTGCTGGAGAAGAAATTGGACATATTTATATCTACGAAATATTACATGGTACTATTTTATTATGCACTTCCTGAATTTATAAATCTATTCAAAATAATCTTGTGGATATTATATATGTACGTGGATATATATTTTTAATTGCAGATACATGGTATACTACATTTATATTACTTTTCTTTCTTTATTGCTGCTGTCAAGTTTCTATAGATATAAAAAGCTGGGAATTGAAAAGATACTCGAACCTGAAGCAGTGAGCGAGTGTTGTACATCAATGTGTGATATATTGGAATAAACAGATTTTTCGTTTGATTATCAAATAGTTTCTAAAAAT